ATTTCATTATTTTATGACATGATCGCATGAAACGGCCAAAAGTCGACAGTTAAAATTAAGCTCACAACTTTAACAAACTTATATAAAAGTCTTAAAATGTAATGTGGTTGGTTGGAAGTGGAAGAGAAAGCTTAGCAACTTCTAGATAAGAGCCCAGATGAAGCATTTCTGGAGGGTGTAGCTGTAAAAGGGAGTTTTTCCTTCCCACTGTTGCCAGAGCGCTTGCTCATTAGGGGTGTCTGATTTTGGGGGTTTCTGTATTATTGTAAGGTCTTTATCTTACAGTATTAAATGCCTTCAGGCGACTGTCGTTGTGATTTGCCACTATATAAGTAAAATTTAATTGAACTGGATCTACAGCGCAGAGCCCCACACCATAACCACAGTGGCACAGTGCAGTCAGACAAATGCCATTTTCCAGGCAACCACCAAACCAAGACTGCTCGATCAGATCAGCAGTAGGAGAAGCAGTATGAGAAAATACCTACCAATCCTGGAGACCGAGCAATACTGGAAGACCATATGGGAGAAGGACGATACTTAACAACAACGCTCAGTGACCACAAGAGCAGACCACAGCAACCTCCTGAACAGGATCCAGTAACCATCACAGTGGCAAACATCCAAGAAAGAGTCTTCAGCATGAACAGCTGGAGAACACCAGGCCCTGATGATCCAAACCCACTGGCTGAAGCAGCAAACTGCACTCCATGAGCACCTGGCAGCACAAATGAACCAGCTGCTATGGAAAAGACATGCTCAGAAGGGCTAACGAAAGGCAAAACAGCAGCTACTGGTAGACAGAGCAGTAAGACCAGACTGACCGACCTGTGCACCGCCTGTATTGACTACAAGAAAGCCTCAATGACTCAATGCTCCACACATGGATCCTGGAATTCTTAGGGATCAAGGGGACCCTCAGAACCTACAGTGGGGATGTGAAGAACAACACTAGAGGCCAACTTCAAGCTAATAGCGCAAGTGGCATCAAGTGCACGATCTACCAAGGAGATGCTCTCCCCCCACTGTTCTTCATAAGCCTGAACCCCCTCGGTGAAGTCATGAAATCTGGCTGTGGATACCTCCTCTACATGGATGACTGTACTCCAAGAGTGAACGAGACATTGATTAACTGATCTATACCACTAGGATCTACAGCAATGACACTGGAATGTCATTCGAACATGAGCAGTGTAGTTGGATGGTAACAAAAACAGGGAATAATCAGCTAGTCAAAGGAGGACAAGCCCGACCTCAGCATGCATGAAGGGTTTCACTCCAAAGCACCCTGAGACTACACGCTAAGGCGAAGTAAGGTTGCCATGGACTACTGTGTGTAAAAAACACTTTTCAAGATGAAACTACAAAGATCCATGAGTACATTAGGAAGATGGCCACATCCGATTATGTGTTTAGTGAATTCCTCAGGCAGCAGAAACCCAAGAAAGATGAAGAGCAAGAAGTGGAACCATCATGGAAGAAGAGGCCCCTGCATGGCATGTACAACCAGCAGACAGAAAGTGGCTGATATCAAAAAACCCCAGGAAGTGGTTCCTGTGGTACTCTGAGCATTTGGTGCAGTAACCCCAAAAATGGGAAGTTGGCTCCAGCAGTTCCCAGGAATGACATCCAAAAGCCATCCAGATAAAGACTGCCTGCAAGGTGGTGTGTGTGTGTGTGTGTGTGTGTGTGTGTGTGTGTGTTCAGAGTGCACTGACCTGAGTAGAGGGGTCATACTTGGCCGTGGTCCTCATGGCTCTGGTGTTACTGCCATGGCTCAACTCAGTCAATGCAAAGCATCCAAAGATCTATAAGCACATATGAAACTCTATCTAAATCTATACAAAGTTTCATGAACACAATAGCAGACAGTGGGCAGTCGACTCCTTCCTTCTCTTACTCAGGATTCGCTGTCTTACCCTCATGTCTTCGGTGTTTTCAACAAATTTCTTATGTCTGCTTGACCCTGAGTTGGCAACAGTTGCTCCAAACATCTGAAACATAAAAGGTTTTGAATCTAACTGAATGACACGATAA